CTGCACCGCTGAGCCGCGCGCGCGACTGGCCCCCTCCGAGGCACATTGCGCCAAATATAATATATACATCTTGCCGTACCGACATATCCGTATCTACTTCTACTACCCTTTTCAATCTACATATTCGTAAGAATCAAATTCAAAAGAGGAATGAGCCGTACTGACAACATCATAAGACTTGGAGACCCTTTTGCTAAACCAAAGCTTTTTTGACCAATCCGGGAATAATGCCGCTCACAGTTATGTTACGGTGCCATGTGAAATAAATACAAACAATATGGTAAGAAATGGCGCAAGGCGAGATAAAGGGACGACATGAGTGGCACGCGCAACCGCGTCGCAATACACAGTCACGCCGTTGCCAGTGCCTTGAAGTATGGTACATGTTTTTATTTTCATGTTCGAACTATTATTTACACTGTCAGCAAATTATCGATGTTGAATTGTAAAGTCTGTAGAAGATGTACCCGGAACATTTGCACAAGGTTGACGTAAGCACATTTGCACTGGTGATTCTATCGATACGCCATCAAAGGCAAGCGATCTTTTCATTTTTTCCTAGAAAGCATCCAAAGAAGCATTTACGGAGGTCTCTAATATGGTCGTTAAAATGACGATGTGCCTTCGGGAATGACAGGAATGCTGACGAATGAGTCAGCTCAGAGCACTTAACCCTCAGCTCTGTCCATATCTTTGGTTTATGTACATGCATGTTTTGATTTGGAGAAATCGGCAAGTGCAGCCAAAGTTTAGTGTTCGAAAAAAATATTGCAAAATCAACTGTAATCTAGGGTCATGTGTGAACCCGGTGACGGGTACACTAATTGTAAGGTACACCAAGATGTGATGAATCAACTGAGTTTCTAGTAGGACTCTGTGGGTCTCCAAAGCTTGAATCTCAGCGGGTTCAAAACTTATTTTGAATTGGTTGCTATTGCTGCTCATTCTTCACATCAGATACTGCAAGTGTAGGTGGTGTGAGACCTACGGTGGCTCGAGTGGTTGTGCACGCTTGATCAGGGGTTATCTCTGCAAAGCACGGAAGAGAAGTCATTTTATTACCCATAAAGTTTTATGAGCAGCATGATAAATGGTGACTTCCAGAGAGTAGTCGCGTGTTGAACAAAAATCCCTCGAATCATCGAATTTTTCCACCTACATTCCCAGGGAACTTGCAGAAGAAACACCAGATAAAGGAGTGAAGCATATTGAGGAATGGACATGCCTGTGCTGGCAGTTTTTGTCTTCGGATCTGTCTATTTACGTTTCCACGTATCAACGAATACTTCGTTTCTCCAGGTCTCAAATAACTTTGGTTCCCCGATATTATGGACGCCCTAGTTGGCCGGTGAGGGTTTGATGACATGAATGGCATAGCAACACTGCTAAGCCAGTGCTTGCTGCAAAAATAGACCACTTAAAAGACATTCTTACCGATACGTCACTTACCAGTCATGTTCTTCAAATGTGTTGTTTGATACTTCTTCCAAAGTCCTACTCCAAGCTGACCGTATGGACGGAGTCTCTCGGATCGTACCGATCCCCAGTAGCGCGACCCTCCTCTCAGCCATATTGAAAACAGGGCTCATCAGTGAGAAGGGTGCAAAGATCAAAGTAACATCGTCATATGCTCAGCGGGAAGTATGCACTTAGTAATCAGGGTAGCTGGCATGATCAGAACAATCGCATCTGTGCCACAATTCATATTAAAATCAGTTGCACGAACTGCACACAGAACGAGACAACAGACTTTGACCTTTATCACTTCGTAATGGAGCATATCACAAAATTATGTTCTGATCGATTATACTGATTTCTCAACACAATCGAACATATAAGATTAAGGGCACAGTACCCAAATATGATCTTGATGAGAGCAGAATGGAATGTTTGTACTAATGGTACCTAGGAACGTTCACAATCCTCAGCGACTGTTGGAGGACACGTGAAAGGTTCGGCTGAAGCGGCCTTGTCTATATGAAGCGGAGACGTTTCCAGTTACGTGGCGGACCATCGGGATCACCTCTTCTCGGGCACTTGCAATACTGAAAGAAAATAATGTTAAAGCGCTATGATGTCCCTGTGTGTGGCTCTTTACCGTAGCATCCTTCCCTGGAGCTCCAGGAGGACCCATGGGGCCTGGTTCGCCATCTGGGCCTGCAGCTCCCTGAAATCCTTGGACGCCTGAAAACAAAGGACGCATAATCATTTGGATGTGCAAAATGTACGCGACGCGCGGCACGGAAGTTTGCCGCTCACCACATGCGGCACAACCGCTCCGTAATGAATACGGAAATTCATTGAAGCGCGATTGTGTAGCGCACGACGTGAACTCTTGATGTGCCTAATGCGTTCATAATAGATATCACTTCCGATGGAATCCACTCACCGTTCATCCCTGGTGCACCCATTGGGCCGATGTGCACATTTCGACCGGGATATCCCCGAGGTCCTTGCTCGCCTGGCTCACCTGGTGGGCCTCGTGGTCCCTGCAACAGTTATCCATCCGTAGAGAGAGAGACAAATAGCATTGAAAAATGAAATGCAGTTACCTTTCTGCTCATGGGCTGCTCTGCGTCTTCTCCTTTTGTTCCAGGCGATCCAGTTTTCCCGTCTGCTCCTGGTGGCCCCGGTGGGCCTTGTGGCCCAGGCATTCCTGGAGCGCCATCTCGACCGGGTTGTCCTGGTATTCCTTTAGCACCACGCATCCCGCGCATTCCCGGAGGTCCAGGCTTGCCTCCGACACCAGGCGCTCCTGTAATGGTGTAACAAGTACTATAGAGCTTTTCCAACATCCAAACTGTCACATTTTAGTAAAAGTTTCCTTCCGAATGACTGCTTCATCATGAAATCCATGCACACCACAATGGATTCTTCATATCGAAAGAATTCTAACGTGACTTATGAGAAGCGATAGCTTGAAAGATTTTCTGTTATGTGAAGCACAAACACAAAAAAATCAGGAGCTCACGATACCGAGTTTGCACATGGAACCGTGAGAACTGTTTCCTTCTTCGAGAGACATTGCGCGCCTCACACAGAGAAAAGCCGGAATATTTTTTAACTCTCAGCTCTTAGCACTCAATGTTTTATGAAAGCCACACTTCATGAAGGAGCTAGACTGACCAATAACGTCTGTGAGCAGTGCCGACCAAATGCAAATACAGCCATGGTGCATTTCTCGCAGCTTGCAATAGCGGACAAGGTGGCCAGGCCATCTGAGTGCGAGCGGAGAGGCCCAACTCATAAAAATACCGATGATCTTATTTCTTTTTGGTAAATTCTCTGATTTATTTTCATCACAGCGGTCCCTTTTGCAATCATAAAAATAATTTCCAAGTTGATCACCCATATTTTCAACAAAGATTGTGCCTTTTCACACTAATTTTATTGAGTTGGGACACTTGGAACCATACTTGACTCTTCTGAAGGCCCGTCTTACTCACACCGGCTGGCATTTTTCAGTTTGTTTCAACGTTTGATGGATGACCGGATGAATTGTGCCAACACCGCACCTTTGATTTTGCGTGTAATTTTAACGATCAGCATCTGAAGCGGCAAATATCTGATAAATGTCACCAACGTGTATTCAAGAAAGATCCTTTACGTTTTTGAACTCAGCCTACAACGTTAGTGTGACATACTGTAACTATTACATAATAGTTTTGAAAAGGAAAATGAAGGCCAGCGCGAAATCGTTGCTCACGGTGAGTAGGGCTCTATACAAGTGGGGTGGGCACACCCATCTTTTCACGCATGTCAAGTGACTGCTCGCACCCCCTCCCACCCCTAGATTGGCTACACTCCCCCTGGCTCACGAATGTCCCGATTCTCGTGACGGTATAGTAGCGGACAGCAGCCCACTTACATACTGTTCAAAAATGTGGAGAGCCCACCATACCTGTATGGCAGGCCCGAGAGGGATAGAAAGTGGCTCCTGTCAGAAAATCCCAAAGAAAATGCAAACCCGATAGTGGGTCTGATTCTCCCTTGGTTTCCCGCTCTAGGCGATGTTGCGTAGATCATCTATCGCGTGAGCGCCTTTGCTCCGCCTCTCTACTCTATCAATCACGCACACACGAACTCTTCACCATCACTTCAATAACCGACTGAGTTAGTTCTCCTGTAGGAGGCGAGCAGGAGAGCTAGGGCCTTGTTTTGAGTTCATCGACCGCTTCGCTGCTTCTCGTTCGCGAGCACATGCACAATGTTTGCGTCTTCGCGTCTCATGTGCTTTTTCACCCATCTGTTATTAGCTGGTTCTGGCGTACTACAGGCAGCCTCAGCAGGAGAAAGTCCTCGATTTCACTGAAGTTTTCATCTGCTGTATTTCCTCTAATAGTTCTCTTCGCACCTTTGCTTACATGTTAACGGTCGCACTTTGATCGCTTGGTTGTGCGAATGCGCCAACCGCGAGGAACTGGGTGTGCCTTAAATACGGCAGCTAAAAACTTGTGTCAGGGAATCGTAATTCGGGAGAAAACCTTATAGAATTCTACTGAAATACTATTAAGTTGTTTCGTAACAACAGATATGAAACGAATAACGGAGAAGTCGGAAGTCGATCGTTATGCTTACGTGCGGCACTACTTACAACATATGTACAGGCTTCGAGTTTCTACGGCAGCACGGAGGTTTCCTCGGGAATTTCGTGCCCAGAATTTGCTGCACGACTTCTTCTAGATTCCGATTGTGGTCCTCCGAATTAACGTACAGCAAATTTGCCTCACAGTGAGAGCCTGAGAAAGATTCGGGAACATGAGCGCTGCAACTATAGGCTTCAGTTTTTTTATCTGCAAGCCGTTGCTGCTCATATAAAGGGTCCAAGCACTGTTCGAATAGACTTAATGAAAGCAGAACTTGCTTTAGCATAACTATGTATGACTGATAAAAATTATCAACTGATAATCATACATCAGGCACACGTACATCTGCTGACTGTTTTTTCAACCAGAAGCAGCGCTTTTTGTCAAGTAACGCAGAACCCACCCTAAATCATGGCAGAAGAGAAAACGGGTACGGGAATCCCTCATAAGTTTCGCCTATCCTTGTAGCAAACATTTTTGTGTTCTGGACGTTTGACTTACCTCTGAAGTTAGAGACACGGATCGTGATCGAATTGTTTAGCTGCTTCATTTAAAAAACAGGTAAGAAGTTGGACGTCAGTGGGGAAAAAAGCAGAAGCATCATAAAAAGACGTTGAAAATGTTTGTGAGGTTGACCATGGTACGATGGAGAGACATAGCGCTGCGAGGAGAGGGAAAACACGAGAGAGCACGTCGTACGCGAGAGGCGCAGACGCCACGTGTGCTGCGATTGATAAGAGTGGCAGCGGTCGCAGCGGTCAAGGGAAGTGTTAGCTTCCTAGCCGAGCGCATTCACTTCGCGCCAGTAGCACATCCCCGTTATTAAAGGCACAACCCAAGCAAAATTAGACCCCTAGAGGACAGAGGAAAATGGCCTGACGCTGAAAATGAGGGTCATACATGATAAGGACCTTCGATTACCCCTACACATAGAGTTTGAACGACAGTCTTCTTACCACAGAAGTTGTAAGGATGAGTTCGTCGAAAGACCAGTTTTTAGACGAGTGGATACACCTATGGTTGCCCCTGTTGTCGATGCAGGGGTCAAAATCTCTATATGGCTAGAACTTTGTCACGAAGGGCAGTTTGACACTCTGAAGATAAAGATCACACTCAGTTGACGTCACTATGTCTCCACTGTGACTCGCGTACGCTGGAGTGTCGCAGCGTCTAAGTCAAAAAGCTCAAGGGAAAAATCATGTGATAAACCTGCCTACATTTGAATAGTTATGAATTGTTCATGAGTATCTAAATACTTTCCGTTAACGAATTAATACGCGAGCGGATTTGATCCCTTAACGTTATTCCTTAGAGCCTCCAGATCTCCATTCCTGTAAATTCAGAGCTTTGACCATCAGGCCATCACACTACTTGGACATCTTTGACATAAAAACTTTTGCTCTTCCGCTCACAGCGCCGTTCAGCAGCTACGGAAGACAGGCTCTGAATCAGCGTTCGAATAAGTACCTGGAGCTATGCATTTCCATTTCGAA